TGCCCCGGTCATTAGACACGGCTTGTGAAACGACAGAAACGACTTGAAATGAGAAATGTCAAAATATGACAGCCAGGGACTAAACATGAGGAAAATATAAAAGGATTTGTTGAATATTAACTGTTGTTTGAATGTTCCCAAAACACAATAGATAATTTCCGAAATTTTCTCAATTTATGGAAATATTCGCGCCCTACATCACTAGCTAAAGCTAGATACCAAAAAAATCAGAAATTTTTCGTTTCTTTGAAAAATTTATAACCGCTATGTGGTTACTTAGCAGATTTGAAATAAGCATAAGAGTTGCTAAATCTTCATAAGTGTAAAGCCATATGATAATATGGCGTATGGTAAACAATAAATGCTATTACTATTATTAGAGGAGAAGGTGGTAATATGGAACCTGCTTTTTATATGGAACCCCTCGATTATTTGGAAACATCCAGGGACATCCATATGTAATGCTCAAAATTATGTTAATAGTTACGCATAAACGTCGCAAATCTATTGGCCATATCGTCTGTGCTGCTAGTTTCGCTGCATGTGGTCAAAGTATCAACTGTTATTTTTGAAAAGTTTTATTTACGAAGTATTTTGTCCAGTTTAGTGGTCCCGTTTAGTGGTAAGTGAGTTCTGCGTGTTTCAGTAGTTCAACATAGGTTTTGTTTTTATTGTTTTGTCAATGAAATGTCTGTATCGACTATAGTTTAAAAATATAACTCAATTGTTTTCTATACCATGCATTGTTGTTATTATGGACCCCTCTTGCTGCTGGTATTATGGAACCGGGTTCATCGTTTCTGACTCATCTAGTGATGGTCCAGAAATCCGTTTTGTTAGAGAACCCAACTTAAAAGATGGTGCAATCTGTGTTTTCTGCGATGGAAAATTTTTCGAGGACATAAGAGGTGAACTATGGATGCAGTGCATCATGTGCGAAATGTGGGCCCATTGTGATTGCGCAGACTGCGATTTTTGTCGATAAATGTACCTATTATTATTATTTTTTAGTTTAGAAGCCTACCTTTTATTTTTCATTAACCTTTTAAAATTCGCTTTTTTCATTGTCAATATTTGTGATTATAAAAAATGGATTTTCAATTAAACATGCCTTTCTTAGCAGTAATGTTTGTAGTTAAACGTGGCCCAATTTTATTCCTTATTTGTTACAGATCCGTTTCCATATATGAATTATATTATGATAATATGGACAACTTTTTGGTCCACTTTTATCCGCCGAGCAAAAATTGCACTTTTTTTCGGAATTTTGTATTTATCTGTGAACTCATCTTCAGGATGTTAATTTTCCATTTCAGCATAATAAATCATTAATCAGAAAACTGGCTATTGTATAATTTTTTGTCGATATTACAGAAAACAAACATTTTACGTAGAAAAAACTAAATGGGGTTCTATATTACCACCTTCTCCTCTATTATTATATTACGACTTTAAAAAGGTAATCGACCGTTTCTTAAGGAGTAAATTGCTTGGTAAACTATTCGTTATAATAAAATATTTTTTTTAGGTTTCGTTCTTCTCACTGTTAGCACGGACACAGCTTTGGGTGACTGTTTATCGGGAAGATATGGAGGACCTTGTGCCGTATGGGATAATGATGCATGCCGTCGAGTATGCCGTGAAGAAGGACGCTCAAGTGGCCACTCGTAGCGCTAGTCTCAAGTGCTGGTGTGAAGGGTGTTAAAATTGAATCGTTACACTGTTCTTTTAATTATTTACCGCTTTGTTGAAATATTCTGTTTAAGTTTAATGTAGTTACGTATATATTGCTTAATAAATATATATTTGATCTACTCGGTGTTTAATATTTGTTGGTAAAATGGAAAAAATGTGGAATTTAGAATAAAGATAATGGTTCCAAGTGTACATTTACCCAGTGATTTTGCTTTTTAAAAACTTTAAACTCAATAAAAAAAAAGGTAATATCTAACCTATCAATTTGATTTTGGTTTGGACTAACTAAAAAATGCATATTCTGCAACTTAAGTTGTAGCATGAAGATAATTGTTGTAAATACTAAACTTACGATCTGTTGAGTTTTTATAAAAGGGGTATAGCATTTAACATTACGTAGCATGGTAAATCGGTTTTTACTGGGCAGACAGAATGATATTACTGGCTAGTCACTTTTCTTTCAAAGCCAGTAAAAACCGTTCAAGTTACCGTGGGAGCTTGAATATTGGATTGGTTCCTGTAAATAACTATTATAAATTAAAAAAATTCTAAAATTTTGATTGACTGTATTAACGCTATTGATGATCTTTGACGTTATTGCCTTGGAAATGTGTAATTGCAGCACAGGTGTAAAATTTTACTGGCTAGCAAGTTAAGACACATCTTATCAAATAGTGGTAACTTGATGTTTACAGTGAATATAATAACATGTCTTCAAGCGTATTAAAATGTTCTAAATTGTGACTACGAAAATAGGGATAGAAATATGACATTGTTTTACTAGTAACAAAATGATTTAGCTCCTCATAGTCTATTTCAGACAGACTGTAATAAAAAAGCTCATTAGGTATGCAAAGGGACTACAAGTGACCTAAACGAATATTTAAGACACTTTCATAATTTGGCATTGATTTCATTGCAAAATTCTTGTCAACACTAGTACTCCCGGATTTGGGTCAATTTAAATGGGTTTTGCCTATTGTTATCTATTCACAAACACTGGAAAATGGCGTGCCGGTAGGATATAAAAGGTAGCGAATTGTATGACAAAACATAATACACTAATTTTACGCTTAGGGCTGAGATTACGGATAAAGTTAATACTAAGTAAGGACTACGACTTTTTTTAAAATCCAGTAATACTGTTTTGTGGAGGTTAACCCTAGCATCATTAAACCACTTCATTTTTCGTTTCCTTCACCGTGGGACAGTCAGAAAAACCTTACCGTAGGCATTATTAGATGTGTTTTATATTTGCATTTATTAATTATGACAATATTTTACCCAGATTGTACAAATTATAATAAAATTGTTCTACTCCAAAAATGTTAGATATTATTATAAGTAAACTGATCTGAAAAAATGTGAAAGCACTGAATTCTGGTGCGGATTACTATTATTTATAGTTTATGGAATTAAGGAAATCAAGTGCAGGGTTAAAGGTTGGAATAAATTGAATAAATTGGATTTTTTTTTTGTATATTTAGTTCTAAGTAAATTTTCATGTATACAGAGCGACCTAACGAGAAGATATCATGGGACATAATGTTTTTAAATGAAAATTCATTTTTTATAATAGTTTTTATTTATACGTAAAATGATGATCAAGGTTAAACGCTGTTGATTTTACTTAAAAATTTATTAATAAAACATTTACCTGCATCAATTTATACTGACATTGGTATTGGTGGTAAATCCCTGTTGTTTTTGTAGAATCCACGCTAGTACACAACAACATATTTTTTTTAAAAACATTGTATTAACAGATTAACATAAGTATATGGTGCTGTTTCTGCTTATTTGGTATATATTATCCTTGTTTACGATTTAAAAGATACATGTCGAATACTCCCAATCTTGAAATTTTACAGATATACTAAGTAAATTAAAATTAAGTTACAGACCTAGGTCATTTATAAACGTGTTGTCTAAATACATATAAGAGAATCTACATAAAATATTTTTTCTTTTGTTTTGATGCCATAAAATAATTATATGCTAATTTTGAATCAAGGACTGTTGTCTTCACATAAAATAAATATTTTAGTATTATTCAATGTTTTAAATTTGTTTATTTGTTTTTGGTATTTACTTTCTCTCTTACCTATTAATAAAATTTTATCAAAAGCTATATTATGGTTTAATCATCATTAAAAAATATTTTATTATGAAAATTGTTTGTAGGCAAAAATTATTAAAACAACAATCCCAAAAATAGAACATATGCCTTTTATTTAAATCCACGTTTGACGAACGTTTTTTAAAGGTTAAATGATGATCCGTCAAGTTGGAAGACTCATAGGTTCCCTAATTTTGTGCCAAGTTGTGCCGTTTAATTGAAATTTTGTTCTCGGTCCATTTTCGAAAAAAATTTCAAAAACTTAACGCTGCGGTTTATGATAAATGTTTAGAATCTAACGATAAAGCAATTTTATGCTAATTTTGTGTTAATCGTGTTCATGATAGTATTGACTGTCGAAGTTTTTGTGCTGGTTATAAATCTTTCATGTTATTCTAGTATTTCAAGTAAATTTACTAAGTATTGAATTATTGTCATATGACTAGCTAATTTTGAGCAATTTTGTGCCAAATTTAAACCTAGCATAAAAAACTTCAAAAGGTCTTGCACAGGTGTTTCATTTTAATAAGTGTTACTGATAATTATAATTTTAGATGAACTATCCAAAGTGATTATAACAGTACGATATTTATCAGTTTATATGGATCGGGTAAAGTGAATTATTTAGTTCATTTTAAAAATGGAGTCGACTTAAATTGTATGTGTGGTAATTAGTGAGTTAAAATATAGAAGTAATAAATAAGAATAATAAGTAGTAAGAATAAGAAGTGTAAATATAGAAGGTAATGGACAAACTTTAGAAATAACAGAGTATAATACCTACTTTTCCCATAGCAAAATAAATAGGTATCGTCTAAATTCTTTGTTCCGCAGAAAAACAACAAACTGAAAACAGGTGGCCGTTATTGATTTAATAGTTACTGTGTGGACACTGCCATCGAATAGAAGCAATGTGGATGTTTATATGGTGCACTTTGATGATTCACATGCCATGATTTACCGAAATTTCAGTACGGTGCACTACTAATCTGGTTTAAATACGTAGATGCATTAGAATAAGTTACTTACTCCCTAACATATAAAAAGATTCCCCTCACTGCTGATAGCAAGTAAAAAATTTAGCTTAAAATGTTGTTAAACTTTTATTGCTACGACGAATAATGTCTTAAACTGTAGATAATCACAAAAATAAATCTTTATATAGACTACTAAACGCTTAATAAGGGGTCTTGTAGCTCAGTGGTAAAGGCTTTGGTTCGTAAGCACAGATTGCAGGTTTAATTCCTGGTAGGGCCGGTTAATTTTTTTACTGAATCACATCTCTCCGAGGTAGAGTACCTAGCTAACAGCTAAATCTCGCCAACATAAAAACAATGACATTTAAAAAATAATAAGAGTTTATACAAGAAAAAATATATGCACGAACTACTTTCGCCCAAACCTCAAAAGCCTCACAATTTTACGTTTTTACACTTTGAAACGAGCTTAAATAATAAAGGTAAGGGCTTGCAAGAGAAAGCACATTGAAAACACAAAAAAAACACATACAATTGCCACAACTATATATTCAACACGCTGAAAAAACATCGATCATATATCAAAATGTCAAAAATTTGTATATGGCGAACTTACGGGCTGGATTCTGTCGCTACGGCCTTTGTTATACACGCCAGGTCTCCTGCAATTCAAGCATGATGTCCACTATCTAACTACATCTATACATTGCACTGCGAAATTAATTGTGTGTTTTGGGTCGGCAGAATTTTAAGAAACGTGTCACCTATAATTAAATTTCTGTCGTCTGTGATGTATTGTGACTGTGACATTGATTTCAGTAAAACGTTTAAAAGTGATTTCACTGTTTTTCATTTAATTTCGGCCAGTATCTACTTGTTTTATTTTAAACATGTTAATGCTTAAAAACGTATACTGCGGTTTCACCGAAAAGCAAAAACAACCGCAAGACACTGGCCGACGTTCCGGATCTCCCGTTTTTAAAGATGATGAATACGATGGTGGGAGTTCCAAACGACCTCGCCCCCCTGTTAACCCCCAAACGGCCAAAAACCACCCTGGCGAAGGGTGAATTTTATTGTTACCCACGTAAACAAAAAGACCAGGGCCGCATCCGTTTTAGAGGGTGTTGAACACGGTGGTGATGTTAATTTTTTCTCGGCCGGGTTGTGGGCACTTCCCATTGGCCACAAAACCACCCCCGG